TATATATTTATTTATTATTTTTTACCTGTATATGTTAATTGGTCGCCACTTCGCGGATTTTCGTTTATCGCGGGTGGTTTTGGTCCCCATTAACCGCGATAAACGAGGGATTACTGTACTGTACTTGAACTGGGAACTCACTGAGGATCGTCTTCGATCACCACACGCTTGACAAAAGACAGGAAGTCGCTGCAGAAGTTCATGCAGACTTCTGGCTTCCAACCCAAGTACTCACCCTGCACAAAAGACAAAAAAGCACGTTGTGGGCCTGCTTCTCCTATAAAACAAGAAGTACTATATACCTGAACCAGCTGTGGAATTTCGGCAGTTCGATAAGTCCGCACGGACACGACAACCCCGTCGTCATTCCTGACGCCGACCACGATGCGAGGTACTCCGAGGAGGAAGGACTGTGCCCACCACTTGAGCAACGTGAACCTGATGAGAAGAAAATCCCAGAGACCACTCACAAGAGGTCGCTAAATCTCAAAAATTTGTCTTGTTCTATCGAGGTCAAAGTACACTTGTGTCAGATTACATCCTTCATCCTTGATGTCAATCAAAAACGTGAAAAAGCCAAGACTTGGAATTTGCAGTGAGAGTTGAATGCATGACTTGATGTCTCTGCGATCTGACCACTTTCTCACAAAATATGGAAAATCTGATTTTGTGGCACCTCTGCGATTAATCTTAACAAACCTGTGGAACTTGCTCTGTCTGTCTGCGGATATCTCTCTTGTTGTCTTGAGCTCCACATAGCAGGCAGGAGGAGCCGGAGCGTTCGGATCTTTGTCCCGGCAGTCCACCTCGCCGGAGTACAGCAGCCTGTGGTCCGAAAGACGAGTTCGGACCACGCTGTAGAAGGCCTCATTGAAGTTGACCACGCCAGTCGAATCAGGTACGCCGTCAACTTTGTCTTTGAGTGGGGGGGCAAAAATAGTCACCATTGTTGCTAAAATGGTCACCAGTGTTGAGCAACTGAATAATAATTACTCATAGAGTAATCCCTCTTATATGTTCACTATTTAGAAATTCACCTATTCACATATGAAAAAAATGTGCCGTAAAATGCCAGAAGACACCGCCAACGCCCTTTCTAAATGGGAATTGGCGTGTCAAGGAATTATGGCGAAGTAATACATCTTGAAGAGAGACAAGCTTTGTGTGTTCGGGAGGAGCTAAATTTAGCATGGGTTCTTCATGGAGTTTAGTGGAGTTTAACGTATCCAAGAGTTTCGGATCACCCTATTTTTTTTACTGAAGATTATTGAACATCAATCCTCTTCAATCCTGTTTTTTACGCCTACAGAAAGCGATGGCTGTGGATTCATTTGATAATCTGTGTACATCTTTGGCCAGGATTATCAATATACTGTATATTGTGACCACTCAATTACTGGTGACCTCGGCCGTGGCTTACGACCTGGAGAGGGATGGGCTCCGCCAGGTCAGAATGCCCAAGATGAAGAAGACCACCAAAGACCCCATACCGGCTCGGTCGTCGCCAGCTACTTTACACCAGGGCAGAGGTAACAAATATGCTACTGGTGCTGTGAAAACAAAGATACGTGCCCGAGAGGACATTGTCATTGGCACATGGAACACCAGAACGCTCTGGCAAACTGGTAAACTTGAAGAGCTCACTCATGAGATGAGCAGATACCGCTGGAACCTTCTGGGCCTCTGCGAAACACGATGGACAGGCATAGGCGAAACAACTATAATGGAAGGTAACAAGCTGTACTATAGTGAAAAACAAGACAAACACGAAGAAGGCGTCAGCTTCCATGTTCACAAAGACATTGTGAACACTGTTTTGGGTTGCCGCCCAGTTTCAAGCAGACTGATAACCATCCGGCTCAAGGCATCCCCCTTTAACATCACGGTTATTCAAGCCTACGCACCGACTATGGACTACAGTGATGAAGTTATTGAAAACTTCTACAACCAGCTACAGGAAATCATTGATAAGACACCAAAAAAGACATCCTTGTGGTACAAGGTGACTGGAATGCCAAAATTGGAGAAGACGCACACATAAACTGGTGGGGCACATGCGGACCCTCATGCAACCAGCTGACGCATGACAGAGGTCTCCGACTCCTAGAGTCTGCGGCTCCCAACAAACTGGTCATAACAAACACACTTGGTAAGCACAAGATGTCTAGAAGGTGGACCTGGCACAGCCCGGGTGGCCAATATCATAACCAGATTGACTACATCCTGGTCTCCAAACGCTTTCGAGCTGGAGTGAACATCGCTCGCACTCGTACTTTCCCTGGTGCTGATATTGGAAGCGACCACGATCTGGTGATGATGACATTCAAAGTGCGCTTGAAAAAGATCAACAAGCCCAAATTCACAAGGCTGCGGTTCAACCTAGAGAAACTGAAGGACCCAACAATAAAAGAGGAGTTCCAGGTAATGCTTGGAGGGAAGTTCGCACCACTGACCACCCTTAATGAGAACGATCTCGACCTAGAAGCAACTGTGGAGGCATTCAACACAATAGTAGTTGAAACTGCAAGCAAAATCTTAGGAAAACACCAGCGCCCCAAGAAACCCTGGGTCACAACAGAGATCCTGGCATTGTGTGTCAAAAGAAGAGAACTGAAGAAGGAGAAGAAAGACCCAGAGGGAGCCAAGAAATACAGGGAAGCAAACAATAAAGTCAAGAGAGAGATGAAGAAAGCAAAGGAGTCCTGGATTGAACAACAATGCACGGAAATAGAGGAGGGCCTAGAAAGGAACAACACCAAGAAGGCCCACCAGGTGATGAAAGACCTTACCACTGAGAAGCAAGGAAGACCTACGAGTATCCAGGACAAGGCAGGTAAATGCCTCACTGAAGACAGAGATTTTAGACAGGTGGACAGAATACTGTTTTGAACGTTATAACCACCAGCTCAACGGAGACCCAACGGTACTGAATTGCCCTGTGCCAACAACAGAAGAGGGCTCACAATCCATCCTTAGAGAATCCATCCTGAGAGAAGAAGTCGAAGCAGCAGTAAAAAAACTGAAACAAGGCAAATCAGCAGGTAGTGACAACATACCTGTAGAATTAGTGCAGGCAGGAGGAGAGGCAATCATCACCGCTCTTACCATCATTTGCAACAACATCTGGAACACTGGGATATGGCCATCCTCTTGGACACAGTCATTGATCATCACTCTGCCCAAGAAAGGGAATCTTCAGCAATGTAACAACCACCGCACCATCAGCTTGATCAGCCATCCAAGCAAAGTTATGCTGAAGATACTGTTGAACAGACTGAAACCCGAAGCTGAGACCATCATTGCGGAAGAACAGGCTGGTATCAGAGCGAAGAGAAGCACCACAGAACAGATCTTCAACTTGAGGATAATCTGCGAGAGATATCTTCAGCACCAACAACACCTCTACCACGTATTCGTCGATTTCAAGAAGGCCTTCGACAGGGCTTGGCACGCTGCCTTGTGGTCCACCATGCGGAAATATAACATCAACGCCAACCTTGTCAGGGTGATTGAAGAGCCGTACAATAAGGCCATAAGTGCTGTCCTCCTGAACAGCAATAGAGGTGACTGGTTCCACACTGCTGTTGGAGTGCGCCAGGGATGCATCCTCTCCCCTACCCTCTTCAATATTTTCCTAGAAAGAATTATGAATGACGCCCTAGAACATAGGTGTCAAACTCAGGTCCTGGAGGGCCGCTGTCCTGCATGTTTTCCAAGTCTCCCTGTTGCAACACACCTGATTCAAATGAACAGGTTCAATGTCAGGTTTCCTCAGAGCTTGCTGGTGATCTGATCATTTCAATCAGGTGTGTTGCAACAGGGAGACTTGGAAAACATGCAGGACAGCGGCCCTCCAGGACCTGAGTTTGACACCCCTGCCCTAGAAGATCATGAAGGGACAGTTTCTATCGGAGGAAGAACCATCACAAACCTCCGATTTGTCGATGACATCGATGGCCTCGCAGGAAACGAAGAAGAACTGGCAAGCTTGGTGGAACATCTAGACAAAGCATCCTCTGCATTTGGCATGGAGATCATCGCTGAAAAGACCAAACTCATGACAAATAACCCTCAAGGTATCACGACAGAAATCAAAATCAACGGGATCAAACTTGACACTGTGAAAACCTTCAAGTATCTGGGTTCCATCATCTCAGATGAAGGCTCCAGACCGGAAATACTGGCAGGGATAGCACAAACAACAACAGTGCTGACAAAACTCCAATCCATCTCGAGAGACAAAAACATCAGTCTGCGCTCCAAAATCCACCTAATGCGCTCACTTGCCCTCTCAGTCTTCCTATACGCCTGTGAATCATGGACCCTCACGGCGGAGCTACAAAGAAGAATACAAGTGATGGAAATGAAATGCTATAGGAAGATCCTAAACATCAACTACACTGAACACGTGACAAATGAAGAGGTCCGCAAGAAGATCACAGACACAATTGGACCACACAATGATCTTCTTACTACTGTGAAAAAACGAAAGCTAAAATGGTATGGTCACACATCCCGCTCATCTGGCCTCGCTAAGACCATTCTGCAAGGCACAGTCAGAGGAAACCGAAAACGGGGAATACAGAAAAAGAGATGGGAGGACAACATCCAAGAATGAACAGGATTGGGCCTGGCAAGAGTCCCAAAGAGCAGCAGAGGACAGAGACTGGTGGAGGAGAGTGGTGGCACAGGCTTCGCAGGCGCCCCAATGACTTTTACAGAAGTCAAGGGATAAGTGAAGAAGTGAAGTACAGTGATCCCTCGCTATTTCACGGTTCGTTTATCGTGGCTTCAATGCATCGCGGATTTTTTCAAACATATGAAAAAAAAAAAATTTTTTTTTTGAATTATTTATTTATTTTTTTTAATATACATGGAGTACAGTACTGTATATGTTGCTCTATGTGACTCGCTGTTGTTTTTCAGCTTCTCGCAGACTGTTTGCGGACTTTTTTTACCTGTATATGTTAATTGGTCGCTACTTCGCGGATTTTCGTTTATCGCGGGTGGTTTTGGTCCCCATTAACCGCGATAAACGAGAGATTACTGTATATTATGAAATAAATTAGGGATGAAATCCGGATTTGTTTTCTGTCAACAGGTTTGTACAATATTGTGGTAGTGATTGCTCTTGCGCTCTTCCATTTAAATGTGTTTATATGATGTGTGTTTAGAGAACCTAAAAGAAAAAGTGCCATAAATTCTATAAAAACATGCCTCGGGCAATTTTTCATTTAAGGTATTTAGAAAGGGTATTTCTATGCTGCGGATTTCACTTACAGCATTTTTTTTTTGAGTGATGTAATATAGAGCAAACAAAAACATTCCAACACTCCCGACTACAAACCGTGCAAGTCCTACCTGCGCGCATGTACTGCTCAAACTTGTACCCCCAGTACATATTCTCCCTGTGACTCTCGGTGTAGTTCTGTCGGGCCAGGCATGCGCTCGCAGTTTCCACTTCGTTGATGTAAAATACTCCTTGGAACTTGGTGATGGCTAGCGACCACTCCATTTGACCTTCATAAGGTGTGCATAAAACTTTGGTCAAACGGCCTCGCGATGTTACGAAGTCAAAGTCAGCTAAAGCTCTGGAGAGAAAAAAAATGGAAAATGTTTTTGTGTCAAAGCAAAAGGTCGGGGTAATGTGGTGCCTTGAAATACGAGTTCAATTGGTACCATGAGCTCGCTCGTGACCGAAAACCATATTTCCCCATTGAAATAAGTTGCTTCACTTCAATGATTATTGTGCTGGTGTCACTTTGCCCACTTAGGGGCAGTATAAAACATGCGATATAGGATGTACATGGAGACGGTAACAAATTTTCATTGAGCCGCATTCATAATTCAGGCCTGACCGAATTTGATTCTTGTAGAATAAGGTTCCGAACGGCCCATTCATGAAAAAAAAAATGTAATGAGTAAAATAACTTTTTTGGTCCCTTTCACATGGTCAACTATAAAAATATGACTCAATACTTTGTCCTCAAGTATTTGTTTAACTTTACAACTGAGAAAAAAAAAAACGTTAAAAAATTGGCCTTGTTGGTTTGTTTTTTGCCCAAGTGTTTTTTTTTCGGGGGGGGGGTGAACGTCATTATCTTTGTCTTACATTGTAGAAAGGGTTCTGTCAGTCGTCATCTGTACCTGTGGGTAAAAAACAAAAAACAAAAATATCGAATATCGTCGAGCTGATTAATCGATTGGGCCTTTGTGATGGTCATTCTTTGCCGATGATAAAGACTATAAACTTTTGAGTGTTGTTGGATTATCCGTATGGGTACACTATTTGTTGTTACTGCGTTCAAATATCCGTTGGTGAAAGCACCGTGAGACTGATGCTTTTCATTAGCCTGTCAAAGGCATTTTCCATAACTTGTTCGCATTAAGCGATGTGGACTTAAGAAAAGTGGCTGTTCCAAATTGTTTGTTTTTTTTTTTGTTGTTGGACAGTAAACCTCTGTGAGTAAAAGTGCTCATCTCTGAAAATTTATGCCCAGTCTAAAGCGGGAGAAAAAAATAATTGGCCGAACAACTGCTCGTATCTCACATCATCGTCACTCATATCTCAAGGCATCTCTGTCGTAACTTACGACGAGACGTACGATGCAGCCGTCCTCTGCATGAGTTTCGACTTGTTGACCAAGATCCATTGCAGGATGTGTTCCAGAGTTTTTCTGACGTTCTCATCTACCTTTTTGTCGCGGTCACTGTAGCCGTTCCTCAGGTCAAAATTTGGTGTCTCGTCAGGTTCCACAATGTATCTCATTTGACTCTTGTCGTGGTGGAATCGCCACTCCGTGTCGAGGGAAAAGGAACCTTCCTCCACTCGCTCTTTGAACGGAGGCAAACATCTTTCATACGGCTTCCTTTTGGTACTCAGCGTACATTGTTGTCTAAAAGTGAGGGAACTCTAAATGAAAAAAAAACAAAAAACGGAGGCTATAGAGTTAAGAATCGAAACACTGATCAGTTGGACTGGTGCATTTAAAAGTTTCAAGGTCAAATTAAGTTCACTTGTAAAGGTTTTAGCGCATTTGCGGTTCATCCCCAAATCCAATAAAAGTGTCGTTTTATTCAACAATAGAGGCATTCTAGTCCAAGTGTGAGTTTACTTCACATCTTGAAGGTACTTATTCACTAATAACTGTGCTTTAAATCAGCGGTCCCCAACCTTTTTTTGCCCCATGGACCGGTTTAATGTCAGACAGTATTTCAGGGACCGGCCTTTGAAGTGTGATACAACAAAATAATATGATATGACCTGCATTTGTCTCCTGGCTGGACCTTTTCCCCTTCCCAAACAAACTTTCCAAAGATGTTTGTTTTTTTACTCATTTTGCTAGCGCCTGGGTTTCAATTAAACGGTAACTTTTTACGGAACCGAGAAGCGCGCCTTGATGGTACCACCTGGTACCAAATGACCCACGGAGTGGTACCGGGCCACGGACCGGGGGTTGGGGACAACTGCTTTAAATAATAACTGAGCATTTTCATCTTCACATTCAGGATCAGTTCCGGTGGACCTACATTTACAACTATTGAATATTCATTGCCAGATTTTCAGAGCTTTTCACCCCAAACATTTGTCTGTAAATCAGATCAAATCATGAAGCAAGAACATCATCCAAACCAAATCACACCTATTTGTTGAAACTAATTATTAAAAAGTATATTTGATTAATTTTATGCTCTATCAACACAAATTCAAGCCCATTAAAAAAAAAAGAAAATAAGTCTCACCTTACCCGGGAACCGAGTGTGACGATCCCAACAGCACTGTCAAGACTTGTTGCCTTCACTTGTTTTTTTTTTCTGCTCAAGTGGAAGTTTCGGTTCGATTTAATTACTCATGAACTGTTTCACTTTTGATGGAAACCCTGCCCACATTATCTCTTCAACACACACGCCTACACACCCACGCATGCACGCACCCATGCACGCACGCACACACACACACACACACACACACACACACACACACACACACACACACACGCACACACACACGCACATACACACACACACACACACACACACACACACACACACCTGAAAACTGTTTTTGCCCCGTGAGACAACTTGAACCCCCCAGGTCAACCAGGTAATAAAATTTCATAGTGTTTAATTTAGAGCTGTCAAACGATCAAAATATTTAATCGAATTAAAAACGCAAATGTCACAATTAACTCAAATTAACTCAAAATTAATCATGATTACTCACACATTTTTTATCGTTTCTGAATTTCCTTTAATATTTTTTTGTCCTGTTTTTTCCCTTTTTAATGCTCTCAATAACATAGAATCATGGATCAGCTTTCTATGTGCAAAATGCAAATATTTACTGAAACAACGATTTTCAATTTTACATGAACATTTTTCACTTGGAGCAGTTATTCACACATAATCTCTCACACAATATTACTGTCGATCAACAACAGTGAAAAAATATTTTGCCACACAACAGCTCCTTTAACAGTTCTTTTTAGGGAATCAAAACAGAGCAATATAAAATTATAGAGTGCACATCTAAGGTAAACTAGTACTCAGCCTCTAGTGGATTTAAGCCATGGTTGCATATTTTGGTTTTTCTCAAGTTTGCTTTGAACACAGCAGTCAGGCTATGTTGATTCTGTTGGTCCTTCTTGCGCGGAAGTCTCTCTATGGTTTTGTGTAGACATCATTTCGGATGACTACACTTGGTTCGAGGCACGCACAACACTGGAGACGTTTTATTTTCAGTATGGTCGCTACGACTGCACCGCTGAACTCTCGACGTGCCTCAGCGCACCATCACGGTCAGACGAACACAGAGAAGCTCCACCTGCTTTATTTATATGGACACGGAACACTGTAACCTTCCACACAAAATAGTTCCAAACAAGTAACAATCGCGTCAGTGGCATACATCGTATTCGACAGGCTACCTGCTCTTTTTTCACCAGAGGGTCATCAACCTAGTCTCTTATTTCTCTCCCGAAACAGTGTCTTCTCCCGCTTGGTGGACCTTAGCCTTCTCCGCTACGTACAATCTCTGTACACAGCTTGAAATGGAAGCTCTCGCTAGCAATCCGTAGTGGAGTCGTTAGACGCAATGCGAATGATTTCAGCTTGAGTCGAGCTGTGGACAATGTTGACAGACTTGCATGCAGTAGCCATACATTTAGCTATGGCTTCAGCAAATTTGTTCTTTGTCGTGTTATCCATTTTCTTCGCTTTGAAATGATCCATTGCTGTCTGTCTGAGACGAGGGGGTGGAGTACTCACGTCAGCTGTGTGCTTGGCCATTAAGTGGTGTTTCGGACTCGACGTGCTATGATGATAGCTCAGTTTACGACTGCAAAACATACAGGTAACTTTGGTCTTGTCAGTGGAACAATCTAGCAACTTTTTAAAAGTAAACTTTCCATTCATAAACTCTAAGTATCCGTTTTCGGTGTCTCGAGCTGCCGTGGCTGGCAAAACAAACGTGCGTGGACCTGTGCAGCGCGCTTGTTGTTTTGTTTCTGGTTTATTTATCGAGCAACGTAACATCCGCTGCGACGTGTGCCGCGTTAATCTCGCGAGAAAAAATTTTAATCCCGTTAAAATTCATTTAAATTAATGCCGATAAAAACGTGCTAAACTGACAGCTCTAGTTTAATTTGATAAATAATGGCTTCGTGGGTTCCGTATATTTTGATGTCTTAATAATTCGGATTGCTTTTTTTGTAGTTTTAAAACAGGGAGTGTTTGTTTTACAGGCGTTTCCCCATATTTCCACACAGTAGGTCATATATGGTAGTAATAATGAAGAGTATAATGTGTACAAAGATCTCTTATTCAGCATATCTTTGGTTTTTTGTGCAGGATCCCTATGGTTTTGGATATTTTTCTTTTTACGTTATCTATATGTGGCTTCCAACATGGTTTTGAATCTATTAATAATCCGAGAAACTTGGTTTCATCCGCTCTTTCTATTTCAATTGATTGCATTAACATAAAAATATATTACGAAGCTGCACAGAGACACATTTTTTTTTTCTCCTCTCCACCCCTTGCAATCGACTTGGGAGCAGTCCGCGATATATCGGTCATCGTGATCGATGTGATGGGCACCCCTGCTATCGAGTAAAGCAGGGGTGTCAAACTCATTTCACATGGTGGGCCACATACGGCCTGGGTAGATGTCAAGTGGGCCGGACCATTAAAATGATGCCATACTTTGCTATAAATAACCAAAACAATATGTCTTTCCTTTGTTTTGGTATAAAGAAGCACAAGAACATTAGGAAAATGTTGAAATTAAATGAACATATCTTTTACAAAACATTTCATGAAGCACCTTACATTTCCTTCGACAAATGTGCAATTTACTTTTATCATTCACATATATGCATTGCAACTGATCCCACTGATTGTACAAACTTTAACAAGTAATTGGTTTTGAAAAATATAGTAATGCACTTTAAGATTAAACAAGATTCATAAAGAAAGCA